GGGAAAAAACCAGAGGAAGAACAATGGTGAGACACAACGGGGAAACAATCACTGGCTCTCAGAACATCAGCTTATACCTGGCAAGTTCACCCTCAACCACAAGCTTTAGTGCTTTGATAGGTGTCTGGCAAGTGGAGCTGTGGACAAATGGAGAACAATATGCAAGCTTACAACATAAAGTAATGAGAAGCTCTCTGCTGTCATTGTGTATACCTGGTACAGTAGATGTTTTTAATAATGATTACACTATAGTGATTGGCACATCTTCCAAGAATAAACTCCTATATACATTGATACGTGTTTGAGCACTGCAGCATTATAATTGTATGTACTTATCTTGGACAAAACAGCCTATGCTTCCATGGTGGTATCCTCATGAGCAGGAAATGTCTTTTTAACAACCAATTAAAGGTGAGCCAGGCTGCTAGCTTAGAAGAGGAATGTTTACACAGAGGAGCTCTCTGAAGAAGAGGAAGGGGGAGAAAGATTCATCATGGTGGAGACAAGGGAGAGATAGAAAGAGAGTGGAGGTAGGAAGAAAGCTGGGGAGCAGAACGAGGTAGAGTCCAGGATTTGGCACTTTCACAGGTGTGCACAACAGGGGGTTTGAGGAGGAAGGAGTTTGTGTACATGTGTATTTGTGTGTATGCGCAGGAGTGTGTGGAGCTGCCAAACTGGCCACCTGTCTTTCCCTCGTTGTAGTTTTAGTGTTTCCTTTCATCCGGCCCTCGGCAGCACAGCTCCCACTTGGAGCAGTTAGCCTCCTGCCGTGTGCGACTGTGTGTGCGGGTGTGAGTGTGTGTGTGTGTGTGTGTGTGTGTGTGTGTGTGTGTGTGTGTGTGTGTGTGTGTGTGTGTGTGTGTGTGTTTGCGTAGCCCAGGTCCCGGTTGGGTTGGAAAGACTAATGTTCCTAAAGGCGCATTTCAGTCTTTGCTCCACGTTTTTATATCTTTGTTCTTCATGTTTTATTGAGACAGTTCGAGTGGAGGCAGGAAGTTGGCCAAAAGGCGCGCGGAGCAGGAGAGGACACCAGAGGAAACTCCTGCTCCAATGTCAACAGGAGGTCATGCTTCAGGAAAAGCACTGCTACCTATCCATCTTTAATTAATAGACCCTATTCAGCTGGGTACCATCTGAGCGCAAAAACATGGATGAGTTGGAAAAAAAACAGGAAGTGCTCCTGTCTCCTCCACTGAATCTCATGTTATGACAGTTGAAAAATGTGGACATCATCGTTAATGGTTTGAAAAGTAAGTCCAAGAGCCTGTCTTATTTTTGGGGAAAAATTAAGATAAATCATTACTTATTTGTAAAAAACCTGTGGTGGTTACTTAAAACAGATTTGTTTTAATGCTTTATATTCAGTGTTTTACTAACCAATGAATGAGTCTGTATTGGAGGGTGGGGCTTAGGTAAGTTCACTTTGAAGCCAATGAGTTACAAGTTGAACAAGGATTTGATCATTCCTCCCTTATAGCCAGTTGAATGCTGCATTAATGACTATGTTCCCATTAAAAGATGAAAGCAGAGAGTTGCTTTAAGCTAAAAAAAGCTGTGCTGTACACGATCCACCAAGCACAACATGCTTACTGGTGATGTGGGGCATTAAGAAATTAAAGAGACGGCTATTTCAATAAGATATTGGGGGAGACCAAAACAGAGCAACCAGATAAATATTGAACAAACCTTTGTCGGTAGGCTCCAAACAAATCATTTGTTTCTGCTGGATGTGTTAACTGACAAGAAGTTGATAATATGTCAATGTTGAGTTTATTCCTTTTTTCACTGTCCCCTAGTGGCTAACAAAAAACTGCTTTGACCAATAACATCCAAAATAGCTTCAAAAATAATGAACAGAGTGTTGAGTCTATCAGGATACATTCATTAATGTTATACTGCCAGCTGTTTGTTGGTACCTTGACTCTAAACTACAGCTGCTAGCTTGTTGCAAACACACCAGCAGCAGCCCTCTAACTGACCACTGGCCACAACATAACATGTCACTTCCTTTCTACTACTTCATTATCTCAATGTCATTCAATTAAAAAAAGTAACTGAGAGTCACAACTTTGTACATAGTATACTTGATTCACCAACTTTCAAATCAAGTAGCCTAATTTGTATTTAGAAACTTTAGCCTGCACGGCTGCCAGGCTCCATATTATCCATTTTCAATGTGCAGAGTGACAGATGGAGTAAAGATGGGGAACAGAGAACATGACTAACAGTTTCCAATAAAATTACAGTGGAAAAATGTAAATTACCTTTAGAGATGTATTATCATCCCTGCAAGTTCCTCTGTGCAACAGGAAAATCAATTGGCGGGATAATTATTGTTATTGTTGAGCTCACCAGAGAGCATAAAGCCGTTATGTGATATATTTTTCTTTCAGAAGGGATTAAAATAGATCACAATTTTGTGTTTTGGTCCTTCACTTTGTTCTGCCAGCTTTCCATTTCCTCCAAAAAATGTTCAATTTCTCTAACACATCCCCAAGCTAAATCTGCCAGCCTCTCTGGCCCTGTACCACCTTAAAGCAGCTTTTTATTACCCCGGCTATCAGTATTCACAAGATTTCCATGGGGGCATCTTCGTCAGAGACCATTATATTGATAATAGGAACCAGTCGATCGTCCAACCTCCGGTTCACCTTGTTCCAAAACCGCCTACTTAAACACACCGCAGCAGTCTGCCCTCTCAGCTGATCTGTTTTCATCAATGTGAAATACAGAGATCATTAGACAGCTAAGCTATATCACAGATCCTCCTGCTTAGTGTGTGCGCGCAGAAGTGTGTGACTGCACGTGCATGCATTAGTCCATCTATCTGTGCATATGGAAGTTCATAGACTTATGAGTGTGTAAATGGTGATCTGTGTGTGTGTGTGCTAAATTATACGTAGGCGTAGGGGGAACCTGATCTGGTCTGTGTGGGAGGAACCAGTTCCTTTCCCCCCTCACTGCTGCTCAGACAGACGGCCTGCTAGAGAGATCAGACTCTCAGACTAACTGGACCAGAAGTCATTAGGACACACTAGACACACAGCGCTTTTTTCAAAGCTTCCTTTTAAAAAACCTCCAGCAGTAAGATTATCTACGTCTCATCGGCTCATAATAGTACTAAGATCTTTTAAACAAGTCGCACGGCGCTTTTCAAACCTTTGTCCCAGGAACCAGCAAGCAGCAGGGACCACTTACTCTCAAACTGTGCCCTGAGATTTAGTCTTTTGTTTCCCTGGGAGGAAAAACCTGCTCTGGCAGTTGAATTTAAAGGGCATTAAATGCATAAATGATAGAATTGCATTGTGTCTTTGGCATGAGCCATTCTCCAGGAAGGATTACGCAACAATCTGCCATTCTTGCTAGAGTTCAAGAAGCACGCTATCAACTGTGAAACTATTATTCTTTCTGTAATCCCAATTTTAAAGCTACACCTTTTCCTCCTTACTCACGTTCTACATTATTAACTTATTTCATTTAAATACGTTTCCTTTACATGAAATCACTGAGTAAAAGTCAGACACATTTACTTGAAAAGTGACTGCATATGTCGGCTGCCGTTTATAGTTTTGAGTGTTTGTGTGACACAATAAATCATCTTTGTTTTTCAAGGCAGCTTCCACTAAAAGAACTTTGTTTTGGCACGGCGATCAAGTGGCGTTTGATTTTCTTGTTGGTTATTTTTCTTGAGCGGGCACTTTGAGCGGGCACATTGTAGGAAAAAGCACCATTATTGGCACCTCTGTCGCAGAAACAGCTTGTTAGCATTGTTAAAAAAATAATTTGGAAACACCAAGACGGTGCAGCAACGGGGTTAGCCTCCATTAAATAAACGGCTCATTTACATTTCACTTAATGGTGGGAAATGGTTTGAGAAATACTGCTATTATGTGGTTTAAAAAAGCCGAACTAGGACACCGTAGACTGGGTAAAGACTGCCTGAATAGAGCTTAAATCTCTTAAGCCATTTTTGTAATAAAATCTATAATAACTATGAAAATAATTGTAGAAAAATACCATTATTTCTCTCACATCAGTAATAGTCAACTTTGCTTTCTGCCAAAGAGACAGGTCAAATCACTGCATGTGCTATTTTGCTGTCTTTAAAAACTGATAACGAATTACATAACACAGAGAACACTTGTCTCTAGACAGGAATAACAAAGATGATGGTCTTTGAGATGTGTATGTGCGACAATACAAATAAAAAAGAAAGAAGAACATTCCTCTTTGCTAATGCCCTGATCATTTTCCTAGGGAGGGCAGTGGACAGATTTCGAGAAAAGGATTAGAGAAATGCGCAAAGAGAAGGATGGAAAGAGTGTAAAAGGTAGTCAGGAAAAGAAATAAGACAAGAGAAAGAATGAAGATTAGATGCATTGATAGTTAGAAATGAAAGGGAAAAACGAGTCAAGGAGAGGGTAGGTGGTGCGTGGCTAAACAGGCTGGAAAGCCATCACCAGCCAGACTCTGGCCAGTGGCACTCCAGGGAAAAGAGAGGAAGAGCAGAGGAGGAAAGAGAGGAAGAGCATGTGGAAAGGTAAAGGAGAGGACAGCGAGGGGACACGGGCAGATGTCCAAACAGCCGTACCTGCAGATTCCATTCTGCTCCCCTTTCTTTTTCTTCTTCTTTCCTCTGCTCCTCAATCCCCTCTTGTCCGCCTCATCTTCAAAACCCGGCCCTTCTCTGACTGCTCTGATCTCTGTGCCCCAGAAGAGAAGAAAGACAGCAAGAAAGGAGAGCGTAGGGAAAGAAGGAAAAAGACAGAAAAGTAAAAGTTAGGCTGATGTTAGCTACAGGTGTACTGAAACTTCAACTTATGCTGTTCTGTTTCTTTTGAGAAGGAAATTATTTGAGACTTCAATATTTCTCCTCTAAATCCATTTATGACCAAACGTAATGAAACCCTTAGATTAGTTCAATGGAAACTCTTATATTGGTTGGAGCTGGGCAGGATTTGAAAAGACAAAATAACATCAACATGAAATCTAGTCCCAGATATACAAACAATTTATTGGTCATCTTGAGTTATCTTCCAGCATTAGTCGGACATTTCCAGAGATGATTATCAGAAATAACCAATACCACAACATTCCAGCATGGCGTTTTAGGATGCCATAAATTGTGTCATTAGCCAATGTTCTTGCACCTTTATACATTATTTGTAATGAATGTCAATATTGGTTAAATAACATACTTTCATTATATAATGTTATGTCACATAAATATACATTTATATTTCAGTTTACACATTAATAACACACAGAACATAAGAAAGACAAACTTGTTTTCATCAAAAGCTGTGTGTTTCCATCATGTGCCATTAGTTCCTTAGAACAAAGAGTCACGGAGTCTCTGAACAATACAGTAAAAAGTCTCTTATACATGTTGAAAGGCAGGTCAGGGTCTTTGATAAGCATGTGAACGACCTTTAAAAGTACTGTTTCAGAAGTGTTTTTGAAAACACCTGACAAAAAGTAAAAGGCTCTTGTAAAGTGATATAAAAAGTAAGAAAAAAAGCTTGGTAAAGGTCCTTGAAAAGTCCTGGAAGTGCTGAAGAAGTCCTTCAAAAGTCTTTGAAATGCATCAAAAGTCTTCAAGTTGCATTAACGTCGCTGCATTTCATCCGTGTGTGGTTTGTGTCTCCATTGTTAACTTCTGATGGCCGACTTCCTGTCTCTGTCTTTGTTCTGGAAAAAAAACAGAAACACCAAAATCAATCTACAGGAATAGTACATCTTAGCAAAGCAATTAGACTAGAAAAAAAAATGGGGAAAAGGGGTTAGTGGCTTGTTGTAATGTATCAACTTTACTGTGGTTGATGACATAAGTGAACCTTGACTGCACACACATTGTGTACAGTAGTTTATTATAGCCTGAAGAGTGACATCATGAGTCGATGATATGCTTCTCATTTATCTGTGGTATCAGAACAGAGAGAGCTTTTGATTTCCTGGCTGGTGCGGAGACTTTCTCTATCTGGCCAGGAAAAATAACATCACATTTTCCCTCCTCGCCTAACCTCTGCTCCGCTCCCTTCTCAGGCCATCTACCACTCGCTTTTCTAGCTGCAGTCGAGATATTTCATCGCTGAGTGATATGCAACACGCGCCATCCCGGTCCTAATTACTTTTCAGGGCTGACGTTAGATTTGAAGGCTGTAAAATGATCTTAGGCCTTTAAAACAGGAAGTGTGGTTGATTTTCATGGACAAAAATGTAAAGAAAAAACATATATTAGTAAAAGTACATAAAGGTGCCGGGTGAAAGTTTTGACTAGAGTATGTGTGAGCTTCTCTGCACCCCTGTCCTCCCCTGACTTTTCTTTCCCCTTCTCATATCGTCTAACTCTCCCCTTCCTCTCATCAGCCGAACACCTGTTACACATTTCCTCCCAGACCGTGCACAAGGTGTAGGTGTTTGGAAAAAATCTGTCTGACTGACATCAACAAAGGTGGGTGTTTGGAAGGGTATCAGGCGGTAATGCGAGAGTGAGATCATAAGATCTGGACAGGAATCAGTCCTCCCACTGATGGAGGGGAGCCATCCCTCCCCCAGCTGCAGCAGAGGACCACTGCTATCATCTACACATGAAGCATTACCATCACTCCGTTTGTTCGTTGACTATCAACCACAATGCATTGGAACCACTTGACTTGTTACTAGGTTTTGTACATTTTCATTAACAAATCCACCATATACTGATACAGAACGGACCAGGAAAATTATTCTCGACAATGTACTGTACTTTATATGTTTTCCTAAAAATCTGCAGAAGCAGGATTCAACAGTTTTATAGTTGTATTTACATTTGAACTGTTTAGCTAATTACTGAAACGTCCAAAACTCACATAAAATAAATATATTAATGTGACTTTTAGGCGATAGTATATATATATATACCCCATCATGCAATACAATAACTAGTTAACAATAGATGGGTTATCACAAGTGCCAAAATCATCAATCACAGACTGCAAAACAAGTTTGATTAAATGAAGGCTGCTGTCTGGATTGCCTGAAATTACTTCAATCCAACGTTTCCATCTGACACATGAAATCGTCTCTTTTAGTAGCCTGGGAAACATTGGGCCTCCCTAATGCATTGCTGTTATTTAGCTTTCTTCAAACACAAACTATAAAACAAACAGCTGTATGAGTCAAGTGCGGCCGTGCTCTCCAGTGTTTACTGGGAGGTGCCTTGGAAAATGTATGGCATTTATCAGTGGAAGTTAAAGTGCTTGAGGCAGGTAAGAAAAAGTGGCAACATGAAATAATCTTAATCAAAAACTTTTCATGCGTTACAATTGGATTATTCACCAAATGAGTGGAATTGGTAGGAATCGGCTGGATGTGGAAGCACAGCTGTATCTGGTGAAGGCGGTTCAGCTGGAGTGTTCAGTCAAAACAAGGGGGGGGGGCTTTAAAGCTGGCCTGGTAGTCAAAACAACCTCCTGAAGACTAATATGGCATGGTCGGATGACATCCCCGCTCCCTGTTTCCCTATTGCTCCAAACACCCACCCACCCACACACACAGACATACCACTGAGCTCCCGGGGGGGTGATTTGTCCAACGCTAATATGATTACCTGATGATGTTTACTTTAGATGCAATATGATGATATTACCACCTTGGAACAATATTATTGTTTTATCAAGGTGAAAGGAGCTTGTCTAAACTTTAATAAGAGGATAGAAAACTCTCTTCACGGCTTCTTATCAACTCTACAATTCAAACTTTAATACAGTTTTTCCGTAACTCAATCGGGGCTGTTCCTCTACCTATAGCTGCAGATTTTCCACACGTTCTCTCCCTCTTTTGTCCTGCGTTAAGCCTTTCTGTCAAATACAAACATCTAATTTAGTCTCTGGCTGCATTAAAAGAAGGATGACTGGTTGGAAAAAATAATTCCACTTGGGTACCGGCCTGACAATCGTATAAGGAGATCGGTATTCATCCATGAAAAGTAATAACTTTAGTTTATCGAGTGAAAATATGTGAATATGTGTCAGTACCCTCAAGTGTCTCATAGAAGCTGTAATTACCCTCATAAATGATCATCGATTAGAGGACCGGAGACATACGTTAAAATGGAGCAATAAATAGCACGTCGGCTTCTGAATTAAGTTAACTAACACACCCAATAAGCCACAGTCTGCCATTATGTGGCTTGGATGCAGCAGACATGTACTTCGTGCTCACTGTGGTTCAGTAATAAGCATCCTCAGGGCTTCTGAAAAACACTTGATTTATCCTAGATTGCCTAATCAGATGTACCAGCGAGCCACACATGCATTTAATAGTCCCCACGTTTTAATAATCTGTCATAATGGCTGTCTTCATTCTGCAGCATTACAAGCAGCACTTAATCATCACTGCTTCGATGAGCACCCTGCAACAGCCAATATGTCATTAATTCAGTAGATATTGTTCTTAGAAACTGCACAATTTGAACCGTCAATTCTCTGCCTTTCTCTGTTATAGATTTATTTTAGATTCTCTCTTAGGCTGGCTCAGATTTCCCTAGTTTTGTTTTAATTTGCTCCGTGAGCAACCCTCTCCCTGGAGACCTAATGACAACGGAATGATAGTTTTGCTAATAGATTTTGTTAGTTATCTGACACGACTTCTTCTGTTGGCGTTAAATTAGGATTTAACTGCTTCCATCTGTGCTGAAAATATACAGACAGGTCCATGCATGACTGCACAGTCTCACACACACACACACACACAGGGACACACACCAAACGTGGGTAAGAATATATTTGCCTGCAGAATATTAGCTACCTTTGACGCACCACATTAGCATAGCTTGATATGAGAAGCAAACAGGCAAAGCTCACACTTATGAGGCACACAACATTAACTCCAAGTCAACACTGGCATTATCAGCAAATCAGGGTAATTTAGTTTTCATGTAGGACCTCGAAACGTCTACTTCAGGCACACAAGTGACGCAATGCTTTTTTCCAGTGAAAACAGACTAATAACCAAATGACTGTGAAAACCACAGTCATTAGGGTGCTGCTGCACACGTCTTAGTCCTGTATTTAAGCTCTCTTAAGGTGCACGCTTCATTTGATCTCTATAAGGGCGCAGAGTGTAGTTTCAGCACAGTCTAAAACCAACTGTCTAAACTGCAGGATAAATAGCCAAGTTGATTATAATGTTGAGTCGCTGGCTATTTATCTGCCTCTGCTTCTCTCCTTCTCCATCACTCTTTCCACAACTTCCTGCACACCATTAGTACAGAACGTGTTGAAAGCGCAGTCGTGATAAAGCGCTATTTAAGTGAGTAATCATACATGAGGTTTTTTTTTGTGTTGTAGTGTCTAGAAAGAAGCAATGACTTGCCGTCTGGCTGAAAAGAAAAAAAGCATTGGAGGTAGAATGAAATGGTTTTGATAAAAGTCTCAGTGAGTGTGGTGCACTGTATGTGAGCGTGTCAGTGTTTCTATGGTGTGGGTATGTGTCCTATGTGTGAGTGTGTGTAAGCAGCGAGGGCGTTTCACAGAGAGTGGTTTCCAGGCTTCTTTAACATCACCATCAAAGCCCAACGTCAATGTGTTTCTAATAGCGGCAGCTGAATTAAACACTGGCTGTACAGGCCTCAGCAGAGGATAAATCATTTACAGAACAATTAGCTCATTTGTTGCTCCGCTCTGCACTGCCAATGACTTCCAGACACTGAGAGCAAGCCAGCGAGTTTGTGTGTGTGTGTAGGTGTGCAAGTTTGTGTGTGTATGCACATAGACTTAAATATCTAATTTTATGTCACTCAAATTCATTTCAAAAAACACACTTTCTTTGTGATCAACACTTTTCCACATTCACACACACTTAAATAGAGATAAGTCAGTTTCCAATGGTACGGTTTGACTGCCACTGTCTCTCCATACACCCAGCTTTCCAACCACCCACACAAATCATCACATAAAAGTTTTACTGCGGCCCAGATGTAAATTAGAACTGTTTGCGATATTAAAAGCCGCATTCATCATGTATGTTTGCTATTTGGCTAAATTTACACGTTTCTTTTTAATTTCTCGAAATTCCAATTAAATAAGATTCCTTCAAGTTCAGGGTTGTGCCTTAAAACGCTCGTAAACTCTACTAAACGTAACCATCTCAAAGCAACAATGGTCTATTTACGGCAACCGCACTATAAGTATCATAGCAGTTTTATTTTTTGCCAGATTCTTATTCGGTTTCCAAACTTATAAAGTCTCTTTTAATTTGTCAAAGAAGCTTTTAAAATGTTTAAATATTGGAAAATGTTTGCGCTTGTCATATCCAGCTTTTAAAGGAAAAAGTTCAGCATGATTGCTGTTACTGGCAGATGAATCTCAGTTTCTGTTTACGTTTGCCATTGAATTGAGTTGACCCTCTCACTGTTTCGTGCCAAACTAAATAACCCACAGTTGCAGACGAAGCCGTAAAAATGCTTCAAGCACTATAGACTAAGGACAACAAAGCAGACAGATTAACACTTTTTAAAAAAGCATTATTTTTTTCCTTTTGTATTTAGGAATTACTGAATAAACACCATCTTAATATAGTTTTGAATACTGCTCATATGCTGGCTTCACCTATAGCCTAGATAAATTAAGTAGAGCTGCGTATTCTCAGCTGCATTTTAAGGTCATTTAACAGACATGTAGCAGATAAACTGGAGATAATAACACCGCAGTGATTAAAGCGGCAGTGATCGTGCAGGTTTGCTGCTGTAGGATGAATCCCGGCACCTGACAGGTCGCTGACCATTTGAAGCAGAGAGGCCTTGAACAGGACATCTGCATCAATCAAGCCGACAGCGCAGGGATTTAAGGATCCCCTTGCTTACCTCCATCCTCAACTCTGCACATCTCATTTACAGATGTACAGCCATCAGGAGTACCCCGTATTTTTGAACTTCATTTATCAAAGGCATCAGTATGTGAAGGCTGCGCTCCGGTGTGTCCATGCCTAACGGCTGGTGCTCCACCCCAAAGCAGTTTTTTGGGAAAAATCAAAAATTTCTCAGGATATATGAGAGCGGCAAAGGAATAGCTTGGCTTCTGGTCAAAAGATACTGAAAGGAAATGACTTGAGTGTTTAGCAGTTGTGTGGAGGAATAGATTTGCACTAGGATCTATGATAATTGCAGTCAGCAACCAAAAGTCTTACTGGGAAAGAAAAAACACCTATTTCTTTGCTTTAGGCTCATGCTAAGAAGATCTTCACTGTTCTCTAATTACCTCTAAACATCTCAAGAAACAGTGTCACTGTCAAAAGAAAACCAAGCATTGTGTTTCTGGACTGTTCAGATACACTGACTGATACAGCTCATTTACAGGTATAGGTTGAAGAAAATACTTCTTAACTTCTCAAGATTAATAGACCATTAAAAAGCCATTGGATTACATGAAAAAATGTCATGTACATTTAGGCAGTCGTTTTTTTTGTTATCCTGGTGATAAACAGACATCCAATCCAAGAACCGAAAACGTAACCCCAGAGGAAATAAATCATATGTCCTTCGTCTAAATCTCTCTGAATCATGTGCGTAAAGTGACACAGATGATGAAATCACATTAGCATTCCACTGAATATGTAAGTTGCAATAGTTAAGCTCTCTCCATGCAGTAGTCATTTCTAACAAGTATGTTTGTTTTGAAACAGTTATACTGTATACATACATAATAAGAGGAAATGAGCGTACACTTTTCTCACTTTCACCCTCTTTCACATTGGAAATGAGCATAATTGAAGCAGCTGCTCTAAGCAGAGCTGACAGCTGTGATGAACCTCAATGACCATAAAAACATACAAAGAGAGAACTCAGGACACAAAGTCTCGTTTTACCTCCACAATCGTTTCCTCTCTGCAATCACCAGCACTGATTCTGCCCTTTAGCCCACTTAAACACTGTACAGCCACTTTTCCAGGGAAAATTAAATTCTCTCAGGTCCTGCCAATCAGAGTTAACCATTCATATTCCAGGTGAAAGGAAAAGTCTGGTGAAATTCTATATCTTTGTTGTTGGAGCAAAACCAACAATGAATGAGTGATACCTGATATACAGTTAGTTAGTCCTGTTAGAATTATTGTCTAAAAACTATGAAAAACATCAATAATGCTGTATTCATGCAAATTAAAATAGTGGGAAAAAATGTTTCCCAATTGGAAAAACTCACATTGACACCTCAGAAATTTGGCAAAACATTTTGGTAGATTTCTTGCCGAGTTGACATATTATAGAGAAACCTGGTGGATAATCTCATGTCATTTGTAATATGTTTTCAGGTTGAATCCAAGTTGCAGTTAACATACATTGACTACATATTCTTTTAAGTGTCCATGTTGTTTCCACATTATGAATTAAAGATCATGACCGCTCTGAATTCCTAAAAATGACTTTCCATTTCAGGCCATGGGCCCCCTAAATAGATAGTAAATGCACCAAAGGCCACACTGCTGCACTGGCTGACGTTTACTTTCATTGTGATCCGCACTGTAGTTCATTTTGAATCTATTTCACATAAACCATCTTGCTGCTGTGAAGTCTAACTAGGGCACCACATGTGTGTCCACCGCTGAAACAGTCCCCAACAAGTCATTCTTTAGTCCCGTTTAAGACACATCTTCTGAAAAATACAGTTTCCAGGAAAGAGTTTTTTACGAAGCCATTGAAAACAAAACATATACTACACTTATGTGTCAGCTGTATCCAGCAGGGAGGATTATTATTTGAAGTGATACAGTGAAATAAAGTTCATTTGAATGTACACTAGGACTAAGTTAACATTTCTTTGCACATTATATATTTCCCAAACTCATTGCATTTCTCCTTTTTTGTGATTGACGTTAACTTATTTAGGTAAACAAATGGAGGGATAATCAGGATAAAATGATTTTCACCTCAGCACCACACTACATTAAAACATTTAAAGTGTGAAGAATAGTGCGCTATTACTGGGGTAATGAGAAACAGCCTAACGTGACAGACTTTTGACACGAGAAAGTTTCCAAATAGTTTTCTACCCAGCATGCATTTGCAGGTCAGTCATGCCGATCTGCAGCAGTGAGTTGACAGCAGCAGATAGTATTACAGCTCCTACTGACAGCTCTGACCTCCACCCGGCTGATCGATACGCAGAGACCTTTAGGGAGGGGTGGGGGACAAGAGTCGAGGAGGAAAAACTGGAACAGAATGGAAAGGACGAAGAGAATAACAATAAAGAATTACGGATGAATTGAAGCGAGAAAAGAAAAGAGAGTAAGACTGATTTCAGGCTGGTTATCTCCCAGCCGAGGGTGTCTGGGTTACAGACGCTGAGGACGTCTAGGCTTTCACTCACAAAGGTTCAGAGGGGGGGCGGGGGGGAGACGCACACTGCTGAGACTCAGGTTATCCCCCAGCTAAAGGGTCTCTGGGTTTAGACACTGAGGAGGGTATTAGCTTTCACACACTGCTGGGGTAACGGGGGAGTCTGCCAGATGTCAGCTCCTTACCCATAAATCCTACTAAATGGGCAGCCGCTAGGTTAGAGGAGGGGGGGGGTGGAGTGGACGTCACCTCTCTATCATCTCCTGCACAGACAGCCTGTGTTTGTTGAAGTCAGGACTGCAGTCGTTTCATTTCCTACAGCTGATAGGAATTATTCATTCTCTGTTATTCCTCATCAGACTGACCATTTTTTATGCTGATGGTGTCCTTGATTATGTCTATTTCCTGTGTGGAATCAATCAAATTTTAGTTTAAATATATGAAGTTCTCCTTTTCTATATTTCTATCAAGGCGTAGATTGACAGTGCAGCAGGCATCTGACTCATAGTACATTTTCTAATTTTTTTAATTGTGCCGTCTACCTAAAATGAACGTTTTTGTGATTTTTTAAGCCGTTTATTCCTACGGCTTTGTCATTGCTTTGCGTGAATCTTCTTGACACTTGCAAATATTTGTATCCAAATACAGATATCCATATTCAATGGCACAAGGTTTTGGCTAGTTACAAATCTCAGTTCAGTTTTTCAGCATTTATAATTAAAGCCTCCTTATTTTCAGTCTGACGTCAATACATTCTTGAAATTATACACATGGTTTTGGACGGATTATACGGGCTCCCGGTCATAAATCTCCCTCGCTGCATAAATGATCTTGTGAACTTTAAATTCATATTTATAAAAAATAAAGAAAATAACAGCAGTTGTGATTTTAAACTGCTTCGTACGTAACCGTGAAAAAGGCAAAAACAATCACCTCTACCAAAGGGTCCACTGAGTGTCAGAAAGCACCTTGAACTTTAGAACCACCTGCTCGGGTGAAACCAACCCCCAACAGGACAATAATACGCAGTCCTTCACCCCAAAAGAGGACTTTAAAGAGGTTCTGCTTTTAATGTCCCTCAGGGCCAATCTGGTTTATAGGCTCAGTCACTGATCTCAGGTCAGCTTTAAACACCAAATTGACCCTAAAGCACTGCACGGTTTCCCAAAAAAAAGCAGCTTCACTCTACAGAGGGGCCTGATTACTCTTTACTCTAATATTTTTTAATTCTGCTAAAAAGCATTTCAAGTGCTTTGTTTAAAGTGTTTGAAAATAACTAATACAATTTAATATTATAATAGTTTGCATGAGAGTTTAAGTCACTGAAACATTTCAAATATTGTTATCATCTTTGTATGATAATTACAGATTGACAGTTTTGTTAATTTGATTTGGCCTTTAATATTTGTATTTATAATTAGCATCTGCTCACCATTTTCCTCTGGTTGCTGAGGCAGAAAGTACAGATGTGTTTTGGCTGAGCTGATTGGTCAGATCCTCGGCTGGGGGAGGAGTTAACGTGGAAGAACGGCTGTGAGGGAGTGTGGCACGGCTGTCCATCAATAAGCCCCTCGCCCATGAGTAAGACGGTCCCCAGGTGACTGATGTAGCTGCTAGCCAGACGCAGCGTCTCGATCTTTGACAGCTTCCTAATCATCAATATAAAAAGGACATTTTGGTTATTAACTATAACATTACATTTAAAAAAAAGTGTACAATAATTTAAAAAATAAATAATGTATTACAGTATTTCAAAAATAATGGGCAACTAGTGATGCTCGAGTTTAAATGTGTGAGATGGTACTTCCTGGACACAAACTCTTTGACACATCTATTATAGGAAATATTCTCTTGTCATAAATGCAGTGTTGCCTCAATTACAGAACAGGCTTGTCCCAACAATAATTAAATAGTGCTTAAATTGAAACGCTCTCCAGAACTACATCAGGGACCATTTATTTTTGTTTCAAGATAGAATAAATTAAAAATATCAGACACAAATCTCCTGACTCATGTTGCTCAGTACCTGTCTGCAGGCTCGGTGGGGATGAGTGTGCGCAGCGCTGTGAATGCCGTGTTGACAGAATTGGTGCGATCCCTCTCCCGTGCGTTGGCTGCAGTCCTCTGGCGACCCTCCCCAAGGGGGGGAGACCCCGGGGGGATGAGCCTCCCCATCATGGCCTCTACATCTACCGCTCCGATTCCCCCACACAGCTTCCTCTTCCTGTTCATCTTGATGTGAAAGGCAGATGGCGAAGAGGACAGGCGGTAGTTGGAGGAACGCTCCTCAGATCCCGACCCTTCGCTCCCGTTCTCTTCGTCGTCTTCGGAGAGGAGGGCGATGTCGCCGTACAGGAAGCGGCCCGCGGGAGGCGCACTGCGCAGCATGGCGAATGTCATCTTCTCAGAAACAACGCTCGGTCGGCTACCGGTCAATCCTCGAGACACTTGTTGAGGTTCAAGTTGTGGCGTTTGTTATCGGAAGTTGCTTGGCAAATGTTCTGTTGATGCTGCTTACCCTTACTTCTCTGCAAAATGAGTTTAGCCAGGTGATTCAGATGTATTGGTTTATAAGGTCAGCAAGTTGATCCTTAGTCAGTGGTCAAGAGCAGCTTTACGTCAGAGCGGCAGTTTTCTCCCTTGGTTTATACAAAAATAACTTCACATACCAAATGTCAGTTCTTAGTTCTGTAAATCCTGAGGAAGAAATGCAAAATGATACGTTCAAGTCAAATGGTTGCTGATTTTGTCCTCTTTTTCTTCTTTAACCCTCTTTCTTGGTCCTTTGTTTCTATATTTGTCTGTGTCAATCCCAATGGCAAAGAACTACTCCCAGTCTGTGGCAGCAGTTTTACTGTCTCTTGCTCTCTATTGGCCTCTCTCTCCAAGTCCTTCTCTGTCCCTGCCTCTTTGCTCCACGTGTGCCTGTTGTCTGAGTGTTTCCGTCTGCCCCTGGTCTTATAGCTAGTGGGAGGGCCGGAGGACTCCTCTGCTCCTCCCTCTGAGTGCTGAGGGTCCCTGGGCTGCTGTCTAGAAGCAGGCCAGAGAGACCGGAGGAAAGAGGCTAACCATCAGCAGGAGTTTGTTTTGGCTGCACGATGATTTGTTTCAGGGGAAATCGACACTAAAACAGAACTTGCATCATCCTTTTGCTCAGGGGGTTTGGAGACCATAGTGACCACAAAGGCTTTTAAAACACATTTTACTATTAGTATGAATATTATATACATTACATTTCTTGGAAGGCGACTAAAAATGTAAAAGAAACAGAGCAAAAGAAATTCTGTCATATGACAATAGTAATAGAGCTATAATACTTGAATGTGCTATCATCAATATCAAATGTCCCAACCAAAGAAGTTTTAAAAAATATTTTTTCTGCAAAGACAAAAGACAAGAAAGTTATTTAACTTGGCTTGAGGTCAATTGCTCTCATAAACTAAAATGATCCAATATACTGTAATTCCGTAATCTAAACATGTTTTTCTAGCAAACAGTCTTGTCCAAACTTTTTTCTGGACTTCTCAGACTTATTAGAGTAGAGGAGCATATTCATGACACAAAGGTTTGAGAGCACAAAATAAAAGCTGACGCGATCTTGTCTACAATTAAATAATTTCTACATTCGCTCTCTGATTTCTACAGCTGTTTTAGCAGCTTCGGAGCACTTGAGGTCACAAAAGGTCGCAAGAGGTCCCTCGCCAACAATCTTCGACAAGCGAGCTGCAGCAGAACACACCCACATCTGGAGGGACAGAGGTCTGCATAATCTGTTGATCCAACTGATCCCCTTATCGCCGTCTGATTTATTCAAGCAGTGTGTCGGATTGGCACCACGCCTATTCTAAAAATGCTGTAATTCTCGATTCAGCCACAGCCTATAACAAATTATTTAAATCATTACAAACAATTAAAATGAATGAGATTTTCAATACTTCTCACCTAACAAACTGAATTTGACTTTAGTCTTCAGTTGTCAATATACTTCCATAACAGAGCAGACTCCCACCAAGAGGTGAGACTGGGACTTTGGTTTGCACAATCGGATGTTTTGTTAAACTACTTTCTTGACAGCAAGAAGCTGAGAAGCTTGAGTAGTGTAGAAAGAGTTTGCCTCCATGTGTCTTATTTTCTTCCCTGGGCCTCCACGTCTGGGCCGTGTTTGTCCCTGGACAGCAGGCGGCGTGGCGGGCGGCCGCAGCGTTAGATGGTTCAGTCTGGGCTCGTGGTTACAGCAGGGAACAGAGTTCATTCAGCCATGGCTGAAGACTTTTATCTGTACAAGCTGTGACGCTGGAGGGTCTGCAAGTCGTTTGCCCTCAAGGGATTCAGACTTTTGGGTGGAGTGTTTTGGTGATGAAGGGGAGGCTCAGGGGTTTATAGTAGGGGAGCTGCTACTTTACTCACTAACACTCCCTTTAACAATCTGTCTTCTTCTTGAAGAGAAGAAAAAACGAGAACAGACAGCGAAGGGAGCAAAGACAGAGGGGGAATAAAAAAAAAAGGAGTGGGAGAAAACTAATGAAAGACAGAAGAGATTGAAAGAGATCCATCTATTTGGCTACAAATACAGATGTAATACGTGTACAAAAGGCATAGAGGTGATGTAGCAGTTTGGAGAATTCTCCCTCTGATTTTACCAAAGCTTTTGCACAGCCTTTATCAAACTTTAATCTGCTTTTCCTTCATAAAGTCTTTGGGGTTTTATTAGCCATGATTGTGCAACTTAACTCTTCCACGGAACTGGCTGACCTTAACGTTTTGTTTCCTGCTTCAACTGTGCAGTGGTTAAAGGTTGACAACGTATGTAAAACTCAACTATGAAGTGTGTAATCCTCAGTAGTGCATTATTGAAAACTCTAAACCCAACTGCCATTTCTGGTATGCCTCTTTTGTGTAGATTGGCAACCGTAAGCTGCTGCTGAAAACTAATAGCACAATGAATAATCTGTCAGAGTTACACAATGTTACAGTCAGCATTCATCACTCTCTCTTTTCTTCTCTTTTCTCTCCTTCCTTACTTTCTGTTTCTATCTCTACCCTTCAATCACAGCCGTAGTTGTTATGCTGTGGTATTGACTGTATGAAGTGAGGCCAGTGCTGGTTGCAGTGGTGGATTACAGTTCATACAGGAAGTGCTGGGAGCAGTCAGGATGGAGGTATACTGAATGTTTCCTATAATATAACAAGATAAACCAGGAAGCATTACTGTACAGTAGGTGTTGGCACTCCATAACCCCCTCAACCCAATCAAACTAAAGCTGCATTCAATAATCACCATTTGGTTTTGGTAATCGCATCGCCATACTGGACATCCAAATTCACAATACATTGCCTTCACTAGAAAACAACTGCTGTAAAATTTACGGACCAAGAATGAAATGGAAAACTCACATTTTATAGTTTGTTTTATAGTTTTCCACTCTCCTGCAGTTCTCATTGGACATATCCGGTCACTGGATATCAAATGTGTTTGAAAAAAGTCGCCTGGCCATCAACTCTGAACATCTGAGACGCAGACTGCATCTACATTACCTCAAGTCACTCACAAAAGAGCCATGCCTTCATGCAACCGGTGCCCTCTGCAGTGACCTCTACTGTAGATCAGATTCCCACACCTGGGCTCCACCTCAGTTAGTGTACCAGATTCAACAGCCCATATCATTGCCGTTACAGTAATGTTACATTTGAAAATAACAAAACCCTGAATCAAAGCGTACCCAAAATAACAAAATCACAGAATGAAAACAAACGTTGTCTTTTGAGCACCAACACTGCAATGGCAATCCAACAGCTCATTGCTCTTGCAAGGGAGAAAATCATGCCAGCATGTTGTAAACAATGGGGTTTGGTTCTGTGGTGAGATTCAGCAGAAAAGTCTGGGACATCCTCTGATGCTCTGCTCAGCTTGGAGTGTAAAGAGTTAAGGTAGAGTCAGAGATTCTGGAAAAAAGAAAATGTGTTTATATTTGAACTCAAAACCTAAACAATTTCCCCCCTTTAGATTATACCATCCCTCTCATATCCATGGCCTTTACCCAGTCCTACGCACAACGGCAGCACACATTTATTTTGTGCAACCTTTTGTTTCCGATAAAAGGAAAGTTGAAAATGATAAATATATTTTATGATATAGTATATTTAACACACTTTTAATATTGATATAAAGAAGAGAATGGCAACAACACGTAGATTCAGACCCAGATACCCCGATTAATGACTGTGTTTAGACTGGCTGTACATATATTTGTGAGGGCCCACTCTGGAGGAGGGTTTCCAAACCATTCCCTCACTGTGGTCCGTCATTACATGCATTAGCATGATCTTCCTCTCATTTGCATCTCCCAGGAGTGTGTGGCTGCTCTAACACAGTATCCATTTCTCTCTGAATTGTTGCCCGCAGGCCAGAAAACATTTGACTGAGTATAATGTAGACATTATGTCTTTTCATAATCACACATGGCTGCATTTCGCCAGAAGAATGTTGTTTGAAAAGGAAATACATTACAGCACAGTAATGGTTACATTTGCATAAAACTACATAAAGTGTTGACCTAAGTCCACTGCACAGATTCTGGATTTTACATTTATAACCATGCTTTTTGTGCCTTACATACTTACCTTACTTACTTTTTGTGCCTTACAATACTGGTTGTCAGTTAGACACTTTTATGAAGCTTCTACTTAATATGTATTTAAAATATTAAATCTAAATGTTTAGTTAAAATGTTCAGGCCTTGATTTATATTCATCAAAACAAATGTAAAATAAATTATTCAAATCTTAAAAAATATGAAGTCCTGTTTCAAGAATTTTAAATAGACAGACCACACATTGCATGAAGTATTTTTCAGTCAATGTATTTGTAAAGAAGAAAAGGAGAAATAGACAGAGCTCACAACACATTTTCAAGTTTAAACCAAACCCATACACACCCTTGCTAAAAAGTTTTCCAATTTGAACAACACCATTTACCTTTACGTGATAAAAGGAATCAAAACATATCTCAAAAATATGCCTTAAATTCGACCTTTCTGTGTCGTCTTGTTTGCTATCTTACTTGTTGTTGTATGACAGATGAAAGTGTCTGTGAATTTTCGTTCCTCTTCGCTCAGTGAAGACAGTCTGAGGAGGGGAGTAGCTTCCGCCATGAGGGGAGAAATACACCTTACTGTAACTCCGAGATGCAGCAAAACAAAATGCAGACGGTTTTCTTCAGATGTCTTTAAGAACCACACGGCTTCACCGAGAGGAAGGGACGTCTGCACTCCCGTCACCGAGGCTAACAGTAAGCTAGCTGCTGAAAGTAAGTTAGGTACGTCCGAGCTGGAAACTGCTGCTTGTTCATTACTCTATAATACACTATCGTAATATTAGGATGATAAGATTTGTGAAGAGAACACTAATTGCTTTTTGAATTCGAATAATAAGTCAAGTAACACCGTTTAAATCTACAATAACACCGGTTTCTGCCACAGGTGGGCAGCAGAACATGTAATGAACACATTATCTTTTAACATCTATACAGGTGAGCTAATTAGAGCTGGAGTTGTTTAACTCATCCTCCCTCACAGGTGCAACTAAACATCAGGCCCAGAGAGACGTGAATCTGGCACGACTCTTACACATCAGAGTACTAATTATAGATGTTAGGTGAACACACCTGTGTGGGGGACACAGGTGTGTGGTATGGCCTTTATGTTCAAATGGTATATTTGTTAGCAGTACTTGTGATGGGCATTACAACTATTTGAATGGCTCTGTCTGTTCCTGTTTTTTAAGTCATGTTTAAAAAAGGTAGTTAATTAGCATATCATATGTTGTGCTGGTCAATAGACAATTCTGCTCGACCCCTCTCTCGCTCTCTGTTTGCTTGTATGTACATACTGTATGTCTCTCTGCTTAT